TCCCCCCAGAGCCTTCTCTTCTCCCAGCTGAACACCCCAACTCTCTCAGCCTGTGTCCTTGGCAGAGGTGCTCCAGCCCCCTGATCATCTCTGTTGTGGCCCTCCTCTGGACTCTTCTGATACGTCCATGTCCTTGTGCCAGAGCACCCCTCCACCCCACTGCTGTGCGGGGGCAGCTTTCTCCTCTTGGAAGTGTCCATAAAGTCCCCGTCATCACTTCCCAGCATAATCCCAAGGTGCAGCTCTGTCGGGTCGGTGTCCGTGGCCCCAGGGTGCCATGCCTGAGCTCCAGGGGCTGGTGCTGCCCACCCCAGGGGAGGTGCCGTGGCTTAAGGGCAGCGGCTGGGACATTGGCTCTGAGCTTGGTGGATGTTGCCCTGCTCCTGCACTTTCTCCCCTGCCAGACTCAACCGAGGCACTGAGCTGAGGTGCGAATGAGAAGGGGAGGTGCTGCTCACCCCTCATGGGGCTTGCTGTTCTTGCATCTCATGCGGGGCGGGTTTAAGGTGGGAGGAGAGGCAATCCCAGGCAGTGCTGCCATGTCGCTCTCTGCTTTCCAGAGCCCTTGCCCCAGCCCAAGCTCCTGAGCATCTCAAACCTGGATGGTTCACTCATCAACCTGACCTGCGTGCTGCCAGAAGGAACGGTGGCTGATGTCTCCTGGAAGAAGGATGGACATCCCCTTCCTCCCGAAAAGTGCTTCCAGCTCACTGGGAAGACACTGTGCTGCAGATAAGGAAGGCAGAGAAGTCGGATTGTGGCTCCTACTCCTGCATAATCAACAACTCCATAAGCTGGAAGGAGGCAGCCTCAACCTGACCGTGACAGGTTAGTGTTGGCCTGCCCTGCAAAGCCCTGGGTGGCTTTGTAGGCTGTAGTTGATGCAGCCACGGCAAGCCTTGTGCTTAGATGGGAGGTCACAGCAGGGCACAGTTTGCCTCTGGAGCTCCAGAGCGTGAAACACCAGGATGCTCTGAATGACCTTCATGTTCTGTAGATGTTCAAGGGGGGCAGGAGAGCAACCACTGACAAGTTCTCACTGTCTCCTTGGCAGAGCGGGGCTGCTCAGAGGCTGTCAATCTGACCATCGGCTTCGTCATTCCTGCTGTAGCAGTCATCCTCATGCTACTGCTCCTCTTCCTGTGGTGTAAGTAGCCCAGAGGTTTCCTTCCAGACACACCAAGTACCTGCTCCGTCACTGAGACCCTGCTCTCAGCTCCCACCCCCTGGCAGCAGGTCTTGACACAAGAGGCAAAGTGCTTCTGCTTCACCCAGGGATGCTCAAGGAGGTGTTCGTGAAAAGCAAGTTTCTCCTCCCGAACATGGAGGATGCTGTTCTGCTCTCCTCCTGACACAGGAGACGTGGGCTGGTGCCCAGCTGGCCACTAACCTGAGCAGTAGTGAGCCCATGGTGTGCCTCACCAGCTCCATGATGTGTTGAGGAGAGGGTGGGAAGAGGACCCCTGCTTTGCCAGGGTGTGCAGAATATTTGGGAATCAGAACTACAAGAAATATTGCACTAACCTACCAAGGGCTCGTAGGTTAGAGGTGCAAGGGCTTGCAGGCAAGATGGGTGTCCATCTCTGTGCTGCCTTCTGGCTCTCCATCCAAAGCAGAGATCAGGTTTTGGACACAGAGGGGTTTGGCCACGGGAAAGCCTCCAAAACCCATTCTTCCCTGCAGTCGCATTTTCACATGTCCCCATGAAGCTCAGAGTGGTGTTGGAAACCCAGGAGCTGATGCCCTCTCCTTCATTTTCAGCTTACAAGAAAAACCAGGAGAGGCATCAGCAGCTGGACCCCCAGGAGGTCACCCACAGCTTACAGACCACGTCCACCTTGGTGACTTCCAGCACGCATCAGCTGTCTCCTTCTCCAGTTGCTGCAGATACTCGTCATGTAACAATGAATATTTAATACTCACCGGGAAGCATCCATCTGCCTTCCTGCAGAACGGCACGGGTGGATTTGTCACCACCTGGGGGGTGACATCAGAAGAACCAGTCATTGGAAAAGCTGGTACATTCCTCCTAGGCCAGTCCAGACACTGAACTAGTGCCAAAGTGGATACTGGATGATTTTGAGTCTTAAGGATTCTTTGTAATACATCTAGGTTAGATTGCAGCTCTTTTCTAAGGGAGCTTCCCGTAGTTCCCGACTGCATATCTCCTGTCCTGCAGATCACTGATGGTGCTCGAGAGCCTTTCCTTTTCCTCCAGCTACGGTTGGGTTGGGCATTAACACTGGAATGGGCTGCTACAGCCTCACTTGTTGTGCCCCACGTTGGGTGCCATTTGTGGTGACCGAGTGCACGGACTCTTCGTGTGATCAAGTCTCTATTGCAACCCGGCGATGCTCCTTTTACACACTTCCCTTCCAGAGGTTTTCCTTCCACAAATCCTCCAGCCCCGTTTACAGTCCTCTGATCCTTGTATTTCTCAGGCTGGTAGGTACCTTACTGTTCCCATGCTGGGTTTTGGTCACACTTTGTTACTTTTCTCTTTCCTGGGCCTCGTGGCAGTCCTTGCTCTCACCTCCTCTTGTTATTCCCGTATGCCTCAGACTCTGTGGTGACTCGCATCCCCCACATTTCTCTTGTCTTCAGAACTCCTTTCCTGATTTTTCACGAGTCTTATCCACATTTCTAACTAAACCTACTTTTCCTACATTTCCCACAATTTATCCATATACAGTGCTATTTAAACCTACATTTTCTGCATAGAATCATAGAACCATAGAATATCCCGAGTTGGAAGGGACCCATGAGGATCATCAAGTCCAACTCCTGGCACCGCACAGGTCTACCCAAAAGTTTAGACCATGTGCCTAAGTTCGATCTCTTCTCTTCTTAAATTCAGACAGGCTTGGTGCAGTGACTGCTTCCCTGGGGAGCCTGTGAAGAACCTCACCCTGATGTCCAGCCTAAACCTCCCTTATCTCAGCTTAACACTGTTCTCGTGGGTCCTATCACTGGTCCTATCACACAGAGCAGGTCACCTGCCTCCCCACTGCCCCTCACGAGGAAGCTGCAGACCGCGATGAGGTCCCCCCTCAGCCTCCTCTTCTCCAGGCTGACCAGGCCCAGTGCCCTCAGCCGTCTTCCCCTCTAGGCCCTTCACCATCTTCATCGCCCTCCTCTGGACACCCTCCAACAGTTTCATGTCCTTCCTGTGCTGTGGTGCCCAGAACTGCTCACAGCACTGGAGGTGAGGCCGCACAGCGCAGGGCAGGCAGGCAGGACAGTTCCTTCCCTCGACCGACTAGCGATGCCGTGCTTGGTGCACCCCAGGGTATCGCTGGCAATATGGGATTACAGATCCCACACTGGTCTACCTTTTTACAGGTGCCCTTTCCTGGGTATTATCCGTTATTGTGGTTGGTAAGCTCTCCTATTCTATTTTTATATATTTTTATATATATATATTTTCATATATATATTTATATATATATATTATTTATATATATATATTTATATATATATTTATTATATATTATATAAATGTTGAGTGATTTTTGGAACAGCAAGGAGGCCGTGACTTGTTTCAGCTGATCAAACCAAGGTACGAGGGTGACTACGAGGAGTTCCCATGACGGTGTTCCCATACCGCCCGACTGAGGAATTAAAAATATTGTTGCCAGCAGCTGGCTTCCAGGACAAGATCTGTGTGGCTGCTAATCACAAGGGGGTTGTTTTCTTGCAGGTGGGGTTGTTTTCTTGCAGTTGTTTCTCTGAGTGCATTTTGACTGATAAGCTTGTGTGAGACCCTATCCGTCCATGTTAAGTTTGCTATGAGAATCAGGCTATTTTGGTAATAAAGAGAGAGCATGATCTGACCATACTGGTGTCTGTCATTTTTCGGCCGTTCTTACTGCAACATATATATATATAAAAAATCAGAATATATATATATATATATTTAAAAGAACCAGTGACGTAGCCTGTGCTGATTTCCCTTGCACAGGCTCTTAACTGACCTTGTGGTCACACCACAGCTGTCAGTGGTTTCCATCCTTTGTGGGCTGTAGACTTTTGGGTTCAGCTGAAGGTCCTTTGCTGTGCCCCCTGGTATCAGATGAGAAATGTGTTCATACAAGAAAATAAAATAAATAAATAAATAAACAATCTACCTTAGGTCACCTTTTTCTTTGCTTTCCTAGAGCCGCTGCAATAGAAGGATTCCATTTGGATCCTCTGCTGGTGTCCCCGCTGGGTCTCCTCAAGCACAGGATAGCTCAGTGCTATCTGGGCCCCAGCTCTGGGGCCAGATCCTGCCTTGGCCAGCTCTGGACCAGGTTTCTCGAGGGGGTGCGGGCCAGGGCAGACTGCTTTACAGAGCAAACTAAAGCTGAGCACTGCCCTGGGTTGCAACAAATCCCGTCCCAAGGGAAAGCGCATCCCCGGGGCAAGGAAAGCCCCTGTCCCAGCCAGGCCGGAGCACAGCTTGCCAAGATGCCTCCTCCAGGCCAGGGCAGGAGCTCGTGGGGCCAGGACCCAGGCGCTGACAAGGGCTCAGCCTCGTGGCACTTGAGAGAAGAGCAGAAAAGCTCCAAGAAAAGCAGAAAAGCACCAAGCCGTGGTGCTCGGAGGTGCCCGCAGCACCCTCCCGGTGAGGTTACGTGGTCCGAGAGAGGACAGGGGCAGCACGCGTCCCCTTCCAGGGGGGCTGGGGGGGCTCTGCAGGCCAACAAGGGCACCAGCGGTGGGAAAAGCACCGTCAGAGGCGGCAGAACTAAACCAGGTAAGGAACCAAGATCGTTCTGGCTGGATAGGACACAGGGGGAATGGCTTCAGACTAAAAGAGGTTAGGGTTAGATGAGGCACAAGGAAGAAATTCTTCGCTCTGAGCGCAGTGAGGCCCTGGCCAGCCAGACCCATTTTTGTCATCATCCCCCTTCCTCTCCTGATGCTCTGGCTCCCCCTCCTGCCCGCATCCCGTCCCTGCTGTGGGTTTTGGGAACTGCACGGGGCTTATTTCCCATAGCCAGAGACCACGCCACTGGAAGAGGAAGAACGTGTGCGCTTTTATTTGTAGCAAGAGACATGAAAAACTAGTTTCCCCAAATGATTTTATAGACAACACTCAAAACAGCTCAAAAATATATTTTTTTCTGTAACATTTGGCTTCCCTGAACGCTTGCAAGCATAGCAATCACTCCCACCGTGGGGCATGATTTCACCCGCTCCTGGATGAGCTTCCACTCTCCCAAGAGGTATCTCCATAGGGATAATGCTGAGGACAACGAAACCTCTGGCTTTTCCAGTGCTAAATTGTCAGAAACTACCTGAAAATCACAAACAGAAGATTAAAAAAAAAACACCTGCAGGAACAGAACAGCGAAGAACGCACAGCCTGAAGCCCCCCATCTCTCTCCTTGAAGCTCACAGCCGGGAGAGGTCCCCAAGCCACCAGCGCAGAGGAGCGGGCACAGGACCCCCAAACTGCCCGAGCTGAGGAGCTGCTGGGGATGGGCTCAGCCAGCTGGGGCTGCCAGACAGCTCAGAGCTGTTATTTTTGCCTCGGGATGGGGTTTCCCGTCCTTGGGGCACCGTATCCCGGTCCTTGCCCTCCTTCTGTTAACACCCTGCTGCTTGCACGAGTCACCTGAGAGCGAGCAAGCCTCGGGGAGGCTGCAAAACCACACGTTTCCCACCAGCCTCTCGAGCACTTTGGGGAATTTAAAACAAACAAACAACAACAGCTCTGTAAACATTACGGAGCATGTTTCAGGTCTGTGCGCCATCCCCGTCTGCTCCACCCTAGAGGCTGCCAGATTGATGAACCAATCTGGAAAACTTTACTTGCAGCCAGCGTCTGAGCCGCAGAGGTGCTTTGGGGACGCTGAGTGTTCCTCCTCTGGGAGAGACCCTGCTCTGCTCTGATTTTTGGGCTGCTTCTGCAGCAGGAGACACCGGGAATGACTCCAGGCCAGCCCAGAAAAGCTCCAGCATCCCTCAACACCCAGGCACAGCACACGGGGATGAAGGCTTCTTACCTGGAGCTATCGTCTTGGCTCCTCCTCAACCTGCACCAGACGAAGATCCCTGAGGACAAACATTGCCTCTGTTAAACACCCCAGGGATGAAGATGCTCAGCGCGTGGCAAGGAGCCTCACGCCTGGAGGCTTTTTCACCACCCGCACAGAGCTTCCTATTTTAAGCCACCAGACTCTCTCCTTGGGCCCCAACTTGGGTGCATCCCTGCTTTTTTTTTTTTTTTTTTTCCCCTCCCAATTTGTAGCCAGCAATCTGCAAAGTCAAACTGCTGTCATCCTGGAGATGGATTAGCTTGGAAAAAGCGCTCCAAACAAGGAAGAGAAGCAAGGCCACGGGGCAAGGACGCGCGCTTGCCTTCTGCAGGCAGAAAACCCCAGCGGGCTGCACTGGGGGGCAAAACTGCTCCCTCCCCAGCAGGGATATGAGGGGTCCAGAATCATCCGTGGGACTGACCCAAGCAGGGACAGCGAGAGGATCTGCAGGATCTGAAGCCTGCTCAGAGCAACCTCTGCTCCTGAGGCTGGGGCAGGGGGGCAAGGCAGCGCGCGGTGCCTGACACGGAGCCCATCGGTGGTGCAGCAGAGCCCAAAATGCCAGGGGAAGCTGGTCCCAGCACTCACCTGCCAGCAAGCCAATGCTAACGAACACCAGGATGATGGGTAAAAACGCCTTGTCGTTGCCTGGAAAACAAGCAAATCCCAGAATTTTGCCCCCACAGAGAAAAAAAAAACTCTTGCCACCGGGCAGTCTGGCACAAGGACATGAGGACACAAGTCCTCAGTGGAGCCCTGCTGTTCCCACTCCTTGTCTCAGACTGTGCTGGGAAGCCATGAGACCTCAGGGAACGGGGCCAGAGTGACCGTTTTGGGGCCATTCCCCAGCTTTCCATTCCCGTGCCCGGGGAAGGAAGCCCCACTTACTGTGGACGCGCAGCAGGAAGGAGGTTTCGTTGTGGCTGACCGCGTTGCTGACTATGCACGTGTAGTAGCCGGTGTCGTTCATCAGGGCTCGGTGGATCTCCAGCGTGTTGTTGTGGATGAACTGGAGGCCGTTGCTCTCCATCAGCAGCTTCCCGTTCCTCTTCCACCGGTACACGTCCACCTGCCCCTCCAGCACGTTGCAGTACAGCTTGGTGTCTCCTCCCACCTCCACGAAGGAGTTGCCCAGGATTTCTGGCTCGGAGAGCGGCTCTGCGCAGATGGAGCACCCGTCGGCACTGACACCCCCGCCTCGAGGGTGCCAGCGCCCGGGCAGCAGCTCCAGCTCCCCAGCTGCGGCGCAGGGTTTGGCACTCACCGACCACGCGCAGCTCCAACCAGCCCGTGGCCTCCGACTCGGAGCGGAAGCGGTAGAACCCCCCGTTCCACCAGCGCAGCACCAGCTGCAGCGAGAAGTCCATCTCGCTGAGCCTGGCGTGGCCCACGTAGGCGCGGGAGATCTCGGCCGACTTGTTGGGAACCAACGTGGCGATGAGCTCCTTGCGCGCGCCGGACTCGTACTCCCAGGACGCCGTGGTGCCGGCTGCCCTCGGCTCGACGCTGAAGAGCACAGTGCAGCCCCTGGCCGAGACCAGGACCTCGGACACCGGCTTGAGGTCGGCAGAGTAGCACGGGAAGAGCGTGCGGGCTGCAAGGGAGGAACGCGGCGCGGGGCTAGCGGGACGCACCGGCATCCAGCAGGCAGCTGGGCAGGGAGAGCCACCCTGGCTCGGCTCCTGCGCAAGCGGCGGTGCTGGGGACGGGATTATTTCGGGGGGTGCTTGCGGTGGGGCTTTAAGCAGCACCACGGAGAAGCAGGAGGCTGCGGAGGCGCTGCCTTCATCTCCCTGAAAGCCTGCGCTGCTTCGCTTCGCAGCCGGCTTCTGCCTGAGGAGTTTCCACGCGCAGGTACGGCTGCGAGAGCCGCCTGCTCCTGGCCCTGCTCTATGGGGGGGGCTTGGAAGTGAAGGAGCCCCAGGAAGCCAAAATTGGAGCCAGGGCAGCCCCCTCCCAACCACCCATTTGCTCCCCAAAACATTTTGAAAGTTGTTATCGGGGCTGCGAGCACGCAGCAGGGGCTTTGGGGTGGGAAAAGCAGCCGGGAGAAGGAGCCTGGTGGAGGGGGGAGCCTGCACCACCCTGCCCAGCACCACCACCACCGCCCCCAGCCCCAGGACTTGCCTATGACAGCCAGGCCGGCCGCTGGGCCTGTCCCGGCGGAGGCCAGGAGGACGAGGAGGGGAAGGGCGAGCATGGCAGACCTGGGGCACAGCGCGGCCTGCGGCAGGGCTGGGACCGGGACCGGCACCGGGTGCCACCGCCTCCTGTCGCCGTCACTCAGGCCCCGACACGCGGCTGGGCTCGGCACGGGGCACCAGGACGCCGGGCACGGCTCGCACCGCGAGGCCAGGGGCTGTGGGGTGCAGCAGGCTCAGGGCGCCCAGGAGCTCTGCGGCTGCAAAAGCAGCCCAGGCTGGATATAACGTCGTGTGCCTTAGAGATCTGTCTCACAGACCGTTATTTATCTGCATGAACTGAGCCTGTGTTCTGCTCCACACCTTCTGGAGGGGTGGGTGAGTCCCAGAGCCCCCCGCTCCACCTTCTGCCAGCTGCACGCTCGGTTGCCCTGCCTGGGCCTTGAGCATTACCATTGCTGTTGTTGGCACCCTCTCCTTTTGTGAGCACCAGAGCATCCTATCTGTTGCACAGGGGCACCTCAGGGGCAAGGGGGAGACGCCTCACTCTTGCCAGGACTTAATTCAGGGCTGCTCAGCCCGCGGCAGGGCATGGTACCACGCATTGATCTGTTGCTCGGATTCCTGGATGCATTGCAGCCTGCCGAGCTCCTCTTGCAACCTGGCACCTTGCTTAAAGAGTGCATCCACCTGGTCACACTTGCACCCCCAGCACCCAGCTCTGCCTTCAGGCCCTAGCTGGATGTCCAGATGGTGGACGTCCCTGCAACAGAGGGTCTTATCAACTTAACAAGTCAAAAAGGAAAAAAAAAGAATAAAAAGAAAAAGAAAGACCTAAGAGCCAGGCTTATGGACTTTTCTGAGGAGTTTGGCCCAGGTGTCTCATTTGCTGCATTGCTGCTATTAATCGGCATAGATAGAGGATGGCATGAGAGCAAGATCGACTAGGTCGATGAGGTTTTTGTATGAAAGACTTCTGTATTTGGCTTCCAGCAGAGCTTCTGAGGATCTGCTGGTGTCCCGTCACAAGTGTTGTCCGCCAGGGGTCAGTACCGGGGCCTATCTTGTTTAATACCTTTAAATCCCCTCCGGGATTTGTTGCAACCCAGGGCACTGCTCAGCTTTAGTTTGGTCTGTAAAGCAGTCTGCCCTGGCCCGCACCCCCTCGAGAAACCTGGTCCAGAGCTGGCCAAGGCAGGATCTGGCCCCAGAGCTGGGGCCCAGATAGCACTGAGCTATCCTGTGCTTGAGGAGACCCAGCGGGGACACCAGCAGAGGATCCAAATGGAATCCTTCTACTGCAGCGGCTCTAGCAAAGCAAAGAAAAAGGTAATGAAATATTTTCTCTTATTTTGTGCTGACAATAGTGTGTAAAGAGTGCTCTTCTAGAGCATGGGGATTTTCAATTATAAGCTTGTTTCTTCTCCTCGCACACATCTCTCACAGTTTGGGGGGCACAAAAATAAAAACCGATGGCTGTTCCTCGAGGTCACGAGCCTGAGAAGTGCAGAGCCGTCAGCAGGGCTTGGTTTGTTTGCGTTCTTACGCCTAATGCCTTGTGCTGCAAAAGCACCGGGAGAGATTACCGGCCGGGGCCAGTTCCCAGGGGCTTTGCAGACAGCAGGCGGCAGTGTGAGGCACGCCAGCAGCTGCGAGAAGGGAGGATGCTGAGCCTGCGCTGCCGGCTGGGGCTCCTGCTGCTGGCCCTGCTCCGAGCATCTCGCCCGGACACTCAGGGGCAGCCTGGCAGCCCCGAGGGGAGAGGAGCTCGGGCAGAAATCCCAGCGTCTCCATGAGGACAGGCTCTTGTGGTGCTGGGATTGGCTCCGCCAATTCATTGGATCCATGCCTGGGTGGAAAACTGCCCTGTACTTCATGGCTATTTTTATTTCTAAGTAAACAATTACCCTTCCTTTAATTTCCTCTGCCTAAGCCAGCTCGTTCCTCTAAGCTCTTTGCAATCACCAATTTCGTTTGCTTGTTTTTAAAGCATCCACTGTACAGGCTGGGATTTTAGCAGTTATTTTTGCCTGGCTTTTCCCGAAAACTCTTTTTCTCCACTTGGGGCTGGGCGCTGTGACCACTTGCAGTCCTTGGAGCGTCACTTAGAGCCCAAGCCATGACAAAGCCATAAACTGCCAGGCACCTGGGGGAAGCAGCTCCATCCTGCTCAGGTGTTCACAGGGAGATTGTTATAAATGAAGTCTCAACTCAATCTGAATTTTGTAATATTTATACTTATAAAAGGTATAAAAGGTATAGAAGGCAAGGAAACAGCGCTGGGTGTGTGGGGAGCCTATGCTCCACCAACACGCACACACGAACATCAAACATTCTAAATATACAGAACATTGCTTTACATACGAAACCACAGTATGCCTATACATACGTACAATCAGGAAAGGTAACAAACAATCCTCTAAGTTCCATGACTTAACAGCCTCCATTTTTCCATTCCTTTTCTTGATTACTAACAAGTCTCCATTTTCCATTCCTTTTAAACAATATGCCTCGCTTTAAGTTGTCAAGCAACTCGGTCTTCAGGCCTTATGTATCCCGTTCTTTCCGGATCGAAGAAAAGCATATCCATCTCCTTTTCAAGGCCAATAGGCCAGGGTCAAAAGGCACGTCCAGGTCACCAGGGGACATAACAGCAAAAGCCTTCAATGGCTGTAGCAGCAGAGGGGCCCATGGCGTAACAGTCGGATCAGTAAAGGAGCTCGCAGCTCCCTCACTCTCTGGCAAACCCCACATTTCTGACTGTGGTCCCACACGGCTCTTTAAGGCCTCAGAGACTGCTCACCAGGTGCCGAGCAATCCCACTGCAACCTTGTCGTTTTTAGTTGCAGAGTCCCACACCTTGACCTCAATTTGGTCCCATATTTGAGGCTCATAACCTGTCTGATTGTTAATAAAAGGAATAAGCTGTAAGGTTATCAGGACAGTCTTTGTTCCTAAGGACGTATGATTCCCCATAATGCATAACTGCTTACCAGCGAGGGGCAGCTGTGTGCACAGGTCCATTTCTCAGCCTGAGCTTCTTCCCAGCTCCGGTGCGCCCATTTCCAGCGACTTTCTGTACGAGCTTCTCTGAGCAGTTTGCTGAGTCTGGCTGAACCTATCTTCATGAGGCAATCAATGTGCCTGATCCTGTCCTGGTCTCTGTTCTGCTAGCCTGTCCCTATTCATTCCTTCTTTCTACTTCTTTATTGATGACATAATTTCATCACATCGTGTTGCCTTTTTATCCTGAAGGCAGGCTCCCCTCTTATACCCTTTGCCCCAGTTGTTTCTTTTCAAAACAACTTTTCATTGGTCAAAGAACTTTGCATAGAAGAGCAACAGCAAACACCCAGCAACTTCCATGCCTGAATGGCTGGAGAACAAGAAAACGGAGACTGCATGGTATGTCCTGAATCAGCCTTCTTAAACCCTCTAAACTCTTTTATATTCCTGATGGCTTCATCATTAAGAGTCTAATGTTATCTCAGCCACGGGGCTTTCCAACCCCCATGGCCACATTCCCAAATCTCCCCCTTCTTTATTAATATCAACCATTTTCTTGACACAAATTACCACTCCATAGATAACATAGAGGATTTCAGCTCCAGACAAGACCAGGTGCTGGGGATGAGATGCTTGGGAAGCCCCTTCTAGGCACAGACGGGGAGGGGAGGCCACCCCCACCCCCACACAACTGGAGCAGAAAAGGTCTCAGCCCTGCAGCCAGGCTTCTTCAGCCACCCCTAGCAGCTCAGGCTGGGATGCCTCCCTGCCTGGTGACGTGCTGGTTGCTGGCAGTGCTTTGTGAGACGTGATCACCAAGCTGTCCAGGGATGCAGACTCCAGGATGCAGTGGGGAAACCTTCTCCAGCTCGTATCTGAGAGAAGTGCTGGTGTTTCTGTCCTCTTCCCAGAGCCCGTGTCTCGCCCTCAGCTTTGGAGCAGTGGCCTGGTGGCCAAGGCCACCGGTGAGGTGCTCTGCGAGGTGGTGGAGGGCAGGGTGGACACCATCACCTGGAAGAAGGACGGGCAGGCGCTTCTCCGGGGCAGAGGTTTCCACATCTCCGGCAGCCTCAGCATTTTGCACCTGAGGGCGGTGAAGAAGTCGGACTGCGGCTCCTACTCCTGCAACGCCAGCAACGGGATAAGCTGGCAGGAGACCTCCCTGAACGTCACTGTTGCAGGTGCTCAGCAAAACGGCGGCTCAAGTGGCACTTTCCATGGGCCCAGGGAAATGGGGGATGCTGCTCCCCAGCTCCCAGCACTCTTCCTGCTCTCCACCCATCCTCAGCACCCCGGAGTGCTCTCAGCCCCTTCTTCTTCCCCCATGCCCCACGGCCTGGCCCCCATCCCGTGAGGCGGTGGCCGACACACACCATTGAGTGGAGCTCCCCATCGTGCGATGCTCAGCAGCAACTCCCCGTCTCCCTTCACACCTCTGCCTGCCCCCAGGTCCCGGATCTTGACGGGATGGGCAGCAGGAGGTTGGCCATTCCCTCTTGGAGGAGGTCCCAAGGCCCTTGGCCAAGGCGATGGTGGGCAGGATGTGGGCAGAGGGCGGTGGGCAGGGTGCCTGTGGGCAGCACACAGCCCGGCGCGGATGTTTCATGGACCAGGGCCTCCAGCAGAGGCTCTGATCCACCCGCTGGCAAAGCAAACCCATGGCAGCCACGGGGGAGCTCCACGGCCCAGCATCGCCATCCGTGCTGGTCCTGTCGGTGGCCTCATTCCCAGAGCCGTGGGTTGTTTGTTTCCAGGTCTCTCTCCTCCCCTGAAGGATGTGCTGAGGATTGCAGTGGTCGCCGTGGTCTTTGCTGCTGTCTCGGGATGGGGATTAGTTTTTCCCGTCTGCCAGTCCGAAAAGCTGCAAATAAGTGCGTCTGCAGCGAGGGGCAGCCGAACCCCCAGTCCCCGTACCCAGCGGGGCAGAGCCGGGAGCGATGCTGCCAGAGGAGCCGGTAACCAGCTCATTCCCCTTCCAGCTGCCCGAACTTCTCACCTTCTCCTCATCTGGCAGGTCTTTTAAGAGTAAAGAGAGAAACCTTCCTTGGTGGATTTTGTTTTTAAGGGAGAAAACTTGTTTTGCTCTGTTTTCAGGCTAGGTTAAACCCTGGCATTTCCTACTCATCTTTGCTCAGAGGATTGAAATGAGCGAGTGACACGTATAGAAATGAAGCATCTCAAAGCAGTATTTTACTAGAAGGCTCCATGCCAGTGGGTCCCCAGCGGACTGTGGTCTAAAGGAACCCCCATCCACCTCTGGCAGCACACGCTGACGTCTCTGTGTCCTCTTTTTCATGGCCAGCACAGCGCACGATGGGCTACACAGCTCCCGGCGGGGTGCTCTTGGTGGTGCTGACGAGCAGCTTCCACATAAAGAACATCCACCATCGCCACGGTGAGAAGCTTCTCTGCAACAGCCCTTCCACGTGGCCATCCGGAGCTGGAGCCGCTCAAAGAAAATGCAAAAGATTGCTTTTATTTTTCAGGACAATTTCACTTTTTTATATGTACGCACGTTCTCACAGTGTCAATCTGCCTTTCTCTTTTCCTTCTGACTGAGTTTTCTTCTGCTTTTTCACCTGTCTGACCTCAGAGGATGGCTGCACGGCGTTTGTGGACGTGACCGCCCTCGCGGTGAGCACGGCGGCAGTGTCAGCCCTTCCGCTCCTCGCCATCTTCCTCTGCTGTAAGTGCCCTTCCTCCGCTTCTGTCGCCACCTCTGTGGTCTAGCAGCAGTATGAACTACCCACAACTCGGCTTTCTGCTTTAGAGAAGAGCCCACAGCCTCTCTGGTGACCGTTTCCCTTCCCCGTTTGAGCCCCGGGTGCTGTCCCCCAAAACACTGTGCCCCGCAGGCGCTTTGCCCAGTGCCCGCGAGCGGACTTGTCTTTTCGCAGATCACACCACACAGGGGTGGCAGAACGAACGTGACTCCAGCTGTGCCAAAAAGGAGAGGTAGAGCCTTCTTTGCCTTTTTCTGTATAAATTCACACCATCCTGGAGTGAAAAGAGCGAGATATGGAAATTATCCCATGCCTTGTTTTAAGTCCTAGACCCCATGAAAGGTGCAGCCCAGCTCTGCCCTCCCAGCCCCTGATTTTACACAGGATTTGGAGTGGGATGCTCCAATGGGGTCTGTGCTTGAGCACCTGCTCAAATCTCTCCACAAATGCATCACTCGTGGCCCCAGCTTGAAGTTTTAAGCCTTAATTCCTTCTGGTTTCATCCACGCCCTTTGGATTTTGGTGGTGCTGTGGGGGCTTAGCCCTGGGGTAAAGCCCCCAGTGCCCATCCTGCTCATCACAGCCTCAGTCAGCATCTCCGTGCCCCAGCCAAAACCATCCAGGGCTGGAGGAACAAGTGTTAGACCCATGTGTAGGGTCTTGTTGGGTTTTGGGGCCATGCAGGGGTGGGTGAGAAGAGAGGCCCCCACAGCTCACGCCTCTGCCTGGTGTGGGGCAGGTCTGGACTGGTGGACCAGACCTTTGGCTCCACTGATGTTCAGCACGTGGGATTACAGCACGGTTTGGGTTGGAAGGGACACTTAGAGACCATCCCGTCCGTCCCCCTGCCATGGGCACGGACATCTCTCCCTAGATCAGGTTGCTCAAAGCCCCGTCCAACCCAACTTTGAACGCCTCCAATGATGGGGCACCCACAGCTCCTCTGGGCAGCCTGTTCCAGTGCCTCACCACCCTGACTGTGAAAAATTTCTTCCCTGCAGGTCCTCCAGGTCCTTTGAAATGTCCCTGGCCAACATCAAGGATCCTGTTCCCACTTGCTAGACACTGGGGGTGTTTCACACTTGGCTGACTCAACCCAATTTCTCCCCAACACTGAGTTTCAGTAGGTCTGAGTCTCCAATGTACTGGTGATAAACAGCAATTAAATTAATTAATTCTGCCTTTTTCTTTTTTTGAATTTTTTATACAATGCAGAACCGGAGGGTCCAAATGCACACTTCCTCTTTTATTTTCCTCTTTAAAACCAGGACATGGGGGAGAGAAGGGCTTTTAAGAGTAGTTGCAAGTGTCTCTCTCAGTAGTTCATTGTATCAATGAGGATGCAGCCGTGCAGTTACCCACCCCTTCCTTCTGGTGTGTGAGGCCACACTCCACTGCTCGCTCCCCGTGTGGAGATGATTTCAACGTGCCTTGGAAGGGCACGTTGAGTTGCTCAAGTTAGCTCAAGTTTCAGCATAACTGAAGTTCGACACATAACGAGATGTCGAATATTTTGTTCTCATTACATTTTCAACTACAAGATTTATTCTATCCTAAAGTGAGTTTATACAGTATCAATGCTGATTGTGCCTCGGGGAGAACAGACTTCAGAATAGAAAGAAAAAAAAAAACAAACAACAAAACCTACTGTGAACAGCAGCTGAGAAGAGGAAGGAGGAACACAGACAGAAACAGCCCTGCAGACACAAGGTGAGTGCAGCAGGAGGGCAGGAGGGGCTCCAGGCACGCAGCAGCAGTTCCCCTGCAGCCTGTGGAGAGGCCCCTGGTGGAGCAGGCTGTCCCCCTGCACCCATGGGTCCCACATAGAGCAGATCTCCACGCTGCAGCCCGTGGAGAGGAGCCCACGCAGGACCAGGGCATCTGGGGGAGCTGCTGCCCACGGGGTACCCACGTTGGAGCAGTTTGCTTCTGATGGGTGCACCCTGTGCTATGGACCCGTGTGTGGAGCAGCTCCTGGGGAGCTGCATCCTGTGCGAAGCACATCTGGGAACAGTTTGGGCGTTTTATGGTAGGAACTCCATGTTGGAGCAGAAGGAGGAGTGGCTTCGTCCGCAGAGAAATCGTTTTTTCACTATATTTTCCCTCCCAGCACTTCTGAGGAGGGGGAGGAAGAGAGCAGTGTGATGGGCAGGGGTTAATCGCTATTGGCTAATTGCTGGGAGCGTGGAGCAAGGCTGCAGGAAGGCACAGCCCTGTGCTGCTGCAGCTCCTTTGGGAGAACAACGGGACTAAGGCACATATAGGGTTAGGAATGCAAAAAGGAGTTGGGGTTAGGGAGAAACGTTCCCGACACATTTTTCCTTTTTGCTCATTCTCGCTTTTGTTTTGACCACAACCTGCAGGATGAAAAAGAATTTCACTGCTAGTTTGTGTTAGTTGCGAAGAGCCATGCTCCTCTACAGTTGTGCTGCAACTTTTAGAAGACAAAGCAAGATTTTTCATTCTGTTTAATTACCGGTGAGTAGCATTTTTTTTTTTTTCTGCTTTTCACCAGTTTTGGTAGTCCTTTTTGCTCTGTGAGACAGGGATAGCTGAGCTACACCTCTCTCACAACAGGGATTTGTATTTGCTAACTGGGTATTTGATCGGAAGCTGTGGGATGATTTGCATCTTTTTTCATATCAGGAGAGTCCAATAGATCATTCCAGATAATTCATCTTGCAGTGAGGTTTTTATATTTGAGCTGTCAACAAGAAGAAATATTTGCCTGTATATATCTGCCCCCTCCTGATAAGCACACCTGAAAGCACCAGCTTGTACCATGTGCTATGGGAAAATAACTGTGGTCCTGAGTGTGAGAGCTCAATTTGCACATTCCTGCTATTTCTTTCCATCATGAGGCCTTTTCCTCCCTATCTGAGCCCTTGGTGAGGGCTGATAATGACCGACCACGTCTGCTCCTCGCCCATCCTCCGTGCTTGCCCTGCACAGCTGCTGCAAAGCAATAACAGAAGGGCACACAGCAGTGAGGGGCCCACGAGCAATGCTGGGCAAAGCTGGCTGCAGACAATCCTGCTTCTGTCAGCCCACACACAATTTTTTTTATTATTTTGAAGCTGTATGCAAGCCGCTGCAGCTGGGGGAAAGCAGTTCCTTTTTCTAAAGGCTGTGCTGGCTCCCCAGCCTGCAAAGAAAGACCCTGGGCTGCTGTTGCTCCTCTGGCACAAATAGTGTTCCTATTTGTTGGGGTGGCTGCTGGTAGTGTAGCCCTGCTCCCCGTAAGGAGCTCTTTTCAACAGCTGACATGCAGCTCACCCCTGCAAGAGGCTTGATAGGCGCTGCTGCTGCATCTCCCGGGGCTGATGGGCTGGAAGCGCACGCCTTACAAAATACTCTTTCTGAAACACCAGCAGGCTAGTGTGCTTCTGCTTCATTTTTTCCTCATGACTGTTTTGAAGAAATGAAAGACAAGGCACAGAAGAGATGAAAATCATAGTCTTGAGTCTGTCTGTCTTCATAAGCCTGTCCTCCCTTGTCTGTGTTATAGCTAAACTCCTTGAAACACCTGCCCTCATCAAAAGTCTCTGTGTTTGCAACTGCCTCTCATGCCACAAGTAACTGTGGGAGGTGCTTGTCTCACTGAGATGCAATGGCCTGTGTGATCACTGTTACACAAAACCACCTGCCTGCCTTATGCAGTCATTTCCTTCCAAGGGCTCTTCTCTGTTTCCCCCAGGTTTCTGAGGAATGAGATCTTATCTGCTGGAGGATGGATTCATTTTTTTAAAAAGCAGCAGCAAAGCACACGAGAGCTGCATTGCATGCCCTTCTTCCAAATTTTCCTTACTCTCCATCACCTGGGGATCCTCAGTGCATCTCCATGAGCACAGGGAGAGCTGTGACGGACTCCAGCCCCCAGCAGGAAAATGGGGCATTTCTGTGCTGGTTGGGATGTGCCTGGAAAAAGGAAATTATTCATCTATAAACGGTGCCAGCTTTCTGCACAGCTGCTGTTCTTACATCCTTAAAATAGTTGCATACGCCATAAAACAAAATATCTTTCCCATTTTCCTGTCAAAAAAAAACCCACAACTTTATTGCCCAAACTTTGGAGGCTACCAGAGAAAAACAGCCAAAAAGTGGCTGATTGTGGCAGCAGCATGGGGAAGAATCAGGAGGAGTTAGGAATCCGTGTTTTGTCAGGAGATTGTGACCTGGTGGCCATTCCACAGACATGGTGGGACAGCTCACAGGGCTGGGCTGTGGCCGAGGACTGGTGTGTCCTGCTGAGGAAAGGCAGGCCAGCAAGGCGAGGTGGAGGAGTTGCTCTTTATGTGAGAGAGCAGCTACGTTGTATTGAGTTCTGCCCAGGGGAGGATGAGGAGAGAGCTGAGAGTCTGTGGGAGAGAATTAAGGGGCAGGCTGGTATGGGGGATAGTGTTGTGGGTGTCTGTTATAGGTCACCAGACCAGAATGAGGAAGCTGACGAGGCCTCCTACTGGTAGCAGCCTCGCGATCACAGGCCCCGCTTATCGTGAGGGAATTCAGCTACCCTGACATTTACTGGAAGGCCTCAGCCAGCCACCCACAGTCCCAGAGGTTCCTCCTGTTACAAATGAAGTTTCAACCCGATCTGAATTTAGTAATAGTTATAAAAGGCAAGTAAACTGTGCTGAGTGCGCGGGGAGTCTATGCTCTACCAGCACGTACACACTAACATTGAACTTTCTAAAGATACAGAACACTGCTTTTACATATTAACCCCGAGTATGCCTATAGATATGAATCATACACATGGCAAAGTTTTAAAAAAGCAAGTGTTTCACAAACAATCCTTGAAGGCAATCACTATTAATGTCCATGACTGGGGGAGCAGAGTTGGAGTTGCTAATCCTGGTTGGAGTGCTCCCATATGTTCCATCGCTTCATTATTTTTTCTCAGATCATGTAACACTCTCCATTTTCCATTCCTTTTCTTGATTACAAACACCAGGGAATTCCAGGGCTAGTCATGGGAACAACACATCTCGCTTTAAGTTGTTAAGCAACTCGGCCTTTGGGCCTTATGTATCTTGTTCCTCCTGGATTGAAGGGAAACATTTCCATATCCTTTTCAAGGCCAATAGGGCCTGGGTCAAAAGGCACGTCCAGGTCACCAGGGGACGTACCAGCAAAGGCCTGTGATGGCAGGAGCGGTGGGGGGGTGATGGTGTAGCAGAAGGATCGGTGGATGAGCCCGCAGCTCCCTCACTGTCTGGCAAACCCCACGTTTCTGACTGTGGTCCCACACGGCTCTTTAAGGCCTCAGAGACTGCTAACCAGGTGCCGAGCAATCCCACTGCAACCTTGTTGTTTTTAGTTGCAGAGTCCCACACCTGGACCTCAGTTTGGTCCCATGTTTCAGGCTCATAACCTGTCTGATTGTTAATAAGGAGAATAAGCTGTAAGGTTATCAGGACAGTCTTTGTTTCCAAGGACGTATGATTCCCCATAATGAGCAACTCTTACCAGCGAGGGGCAGCTGTGTGCACGGGTCCGCTTCTCTCAGCTTGAGCTTCTTCCCAGCTCCAATACACCTATTTCCAGCGACTTTCTGTACGAGCTTCTCTGAGTGGTTTGGCCGAACCTCTCTTCATGAGGCAATCAATGTGCCTGGTCTCTGTTCTGCTAGTCTGTCCCTATTCATTCCTTCTTTCTACTTCTTTGATGACATAACTTCATCACATCGTTTTGCCTTTTTATCCTGAAGGCAGGCTCCCCTCTTATACCCTTTGCCCCAGTTGTTTCTTTTCAAAACAACTTTTCACTGGTCATAGAACAGCAACAGCAAACACCCAGCAACTTCCATGCCTTAATGGCTGGAGAACAAGCAACCTGAGACTGCATGGTGTCTCCTGAATCACCCTTCTTTGATCCCTCTAAACTCTTTTACATTCCTGATGGCTTCATCGTTAAGAGTCTGATATTATCATTAACCATGAGGTTTGCCGACTCTTGCAGGAAGAATGGCCAAAAACATGACAGACGCTAGTATGGTCAGATCATGCTGCCCTATATTATCAGAATAGCCTGACTTTTGTAGTAAACTTAACAGGGGCAGATAGTGCCTTACACAAGATTATCGGTCAAAAGCATTCAGACAAACAACTGCAAGAAAACAACCCCACCTGCAAGAAAACAACCCTCATAGAATTAGCAGTCACGTACATCCCATCCTTG